GTGGCAACGTTTCAAACCCGCAAACAAACCCCGTCGTGTGGTTTTGCGGTTAACTTCTTGATCGTAGAGTTTCAAGACTATTAAGGACTTTCTGCTCACATCAAAGTTTTGGAGTACACGACTACAAAACTGTGGGAACAGCTGAGCTCAAAATTAGGTCTCACATGGTTTATGAATAACTGACCACTGAAGAAACAGCTCCAAAGACCTCGAAGACCTTAAAGGCATGCCCCAGGATCACATTGGTGTGGCTCTTGTACACGAATGCGAATGTATTGGTGCGAAAGTGGGCCGGCAGTAAAGAAAAAGGAAAAGAATCCGTCGAAAACGCTTAGGTTAAGGGCTCACTCACCTTCTAATCGGCTGTGCTAAGGGAATGAGAGACTAAGCGCGGAGAGGAGAGTATAGGCGAGAGAGCGCTACAGATGAGAGAGCGCCAGACAACAGCCTGATAAGAGAAAAAATCTGCAGCTTCAGCAGCTTACTTTGCAAGGCCCAAGCGCTCTTGTCGGTTGGTTTCCGTGCACGGAACGCCACATTTGTGATTGTCCTCTGAATTTCTTCTGAAAGGACACTCACTGAAGTGAAAATAAGAAAGGACTTGTCGATTTTTGTGTCCATGCCATGAGAGAGAGCATGGGTAATGAGGATAGGCAATAGAAATCGACGAATGAGAGAACACGGACACAGACGGTCGAGAGAAAACGAAGCAGTAGAAACGGTCCTAGCCAGGCCCTAGCGCTCTTGTTGCGCACTTTTGAGCACGTAGAGCAGCCCGTCTGTGCCTTATCCTCCACCGAGAACATCATCTACCTGAAGTCATACTGGGCTGAGTATAGAGCAGATGATGACATGAAAAGGTCGCCCACCGGGTATAAAACTAGAGCTAAGATATACGAATGTGAAAAAACCGAGAGAAACGGGATAAAGCCCGTAGCAGGAGGCCCTTAATTTCCTCGTTGTTGTCGAGCTAACTGGCTTGTCTCTTGCGATTCGCTCTCTCATTATAGTAGGCCTTTTCCATCATCCATTTTATAATGCCACCAGTCTTTCATGACCAATCTGCTCCACTCACGGTTACGGTGATAAGTCTTCCAAGATAATAGCCAAGTGTCTTTGAGCAACGCGTTAACAGCTGCACTCCACTGGTTAGAAAGAGCGTTCACTAACAGCCTCACTAAGCATAGAATGAGAGCGAATCAGGAGGCTCTTAATTATTGTAGTTTGGCCGTGGTATTGATTGTTTTGTGAAGTACGTAAGCATGTGGTCATCGTAGCAGGGCGTTGTTGTTTCCCTTCAGGTTGTTGATAGTAAGCCGACTCGGAACGGATTTGTAGCAGAGCAATTAGTATCGAATGACAATTTTATTCTGTACACAGATTTAGTCGGGGTTTCGAATGTTGTCAAGTAGAACTAGAAAACTTGACCTAGATCGTTGCCTTTGAGGAGT